CAATCTGTGGTCTTTGAAAAAAATTTACAAATGTTTATTTATACCAAATTGCACGAGAAAAATCATGCGATTATGCATTAATAATATACATGAAAAAATACGAGGTAGCTTATCATAATTATGCAGAAGAAAAGCGCGCGCATCACGTGCAAGTGACATTGACCTTGACATTGACATTGACCAATCACTCTGACCAATCAGATTGTCTGGTTTGTTATTACTTTCTTTGCACTGAATTAACCCTCCTCTGCACTGAATGAACTCTCTTCTGCACTGGATTACCTGAAAACTGCATTTATCTTAACTAATCAGAGCTGAGTAATTTTTTCATGTATATTATTAGGTCTGAAACAGGACAATTTCTCTTCTGTGATCATGTTCATGCTGCTTGATATTAGAGACGAGACGACACAATGTGGCTGAATAAACTCAGTCTCAGAATTCTTAGCGATAGCTAGGGATATTTTCACACAAACTTTTAGACCTATCGTTTGAAATACAAAGAAAGCTTTGATACAGGAACCTCCCTCTGCGAGATATAAAACATGTCACTCAGTATGACCATTCAGCCCCACTACACAGATGATAATGAAAAGTAATAAATTTTAATTTATCATCATCAAAATTCCAAATCGGGTGTTAGCTGACTGATTACCATAGTACTACACAGAGGGACTGCGTTTGTTTAGGTTTCTTGGTTTGTTCTATAGTTACAAAACTAGATGTTTGACGTTACCACAGCATTCGTAAGTACGGATCATGGCAAATGGTTGCTATAATGTTCCTTTGTCCTTATTTGATGGCAAATCAAATAAACTAATCCCAAAAAGTTTGCTCAAACTCATTTCCTTTTCTCTACAAAGCACCACTAAAATTACTCATCGGTCTCTGGCTACCAAGAAAATATGCTTAAAGCTGATGATCTTGAGGAAGCGTAATCAGTCACAATCAAGAGAACAAAGAATCATGGAACAAGAGTGAAATGGAGATTGTAGAAGTTTTGAAACGATTCGAAACAACTTGTCTTTAGGTAGCAAAAAAAGTCCCGATCTCTCTGTCACTAAAAAAAAGACCACAGGGCATAAATTATCGGGCTATTTTATAATTCAAAAGAGCTGATGGCTCTCATCAAACCGAAGTGACCCTCTCATCAGTGACCTCGATCATCGTAACAGTGGTCTTCCTGCTCACAACACTGAGGGGACTGTGTCCTTGCACTTTAGATGAATCAGTATACTTCTTCACAGAACCGTAAAGTTCAGAATCTAAAACAACAGAAATATGAAAATACGCATTAGTTATGAAATAAAAATTGTGTTGAAAAAATTTTAGTAATTTAGTAATTTTATGTTTTTGGAATGATCTCAGAGCGTGGATTTTGAAAGCCTTTGATGAGCAAGCTGTGTGGTATTTGTAAACAGATTAAGAAGGAACAGTTTGTAAATTTTGGGGGTAAGAATCCTCATTCGCCATGATTTTCCCTTTTATTTGGATTTCCCTTGTGACATTCTTATCAGGCGAAATTTTGAAAAGCGTCTGCTAGTTTTGTTTTAATATTCATCGAAAACCCTAACTCCTTCCCCCCTAACAGCGGTCCCTACTATTATGTGACAGTAATTAGGTTAATCATGTGACCCGTCCGGCCCTACTCGCGCAATCCCATAGAAACCATAATGAAAGCTGACTTGTGTAGAGCCGGACTGGTTGACGTGAGCCTGTCCGGAAAAAGCCGTCTTGCTCTCTAGTGCCCTCTATGTACGGCTTTGTTGCAAAAAGAAAAAAAAATTCATTGATAAATAAATAAAAACGGTGAATGAAAATTAACAAATGAGGTACGCCAGTTTTTCGATGAATTGTAAGTTTCTTGGCCTGACTCGAGAAAATGAGGGAAAAGTTATCATCGCAGAATCTTTTTTGTGGTTTTCCTTAAGCCAAATATTTTTCCGTCTGGCTCTCTCACTCAGTCAATAAATACATATTGTATGAGGGTGGTAACATAAGGGGAATTTGCAATTTGATAATTTGCAATTATCGTCATGACAAGTCATAGTTTTACCTAAACTGCTCTTGCATGATGGAGGCCTAGACTTGGTCTCCTGTACTCCTAATTTATCAGGACTGTTATCACCAGCTTCCTCCTGAGTGGGATGTGGAAGTAAGCTCTCTTGATACAGATCTCCGGGCGGCAGAGCGACTCTGTCCTCTGTTTGATCCCGATTGACCTCTTGATCATTTCCTTGTTCGCGATTTTGCGCCTGACCCGCTCCGTTTTCCACCTTATCCACACCAATTCTCATCGAAAAGGCCTTCCAGCGTTTACGCATAACTTTGTAGTACGCGATGACGAGGATCGGGATGACAAGAGAGAGACCGCCCACAACAGAACCAGCTATGAGGCCCACATTTGGGGAAGCGTCTTCATTCAGGATGACGACTGGCTCACTTGAAGGAGAGGTTTCTGTCGTGCTGGTTGTAGAAGGGGATGGCCACCATGGGGTCGTGGACTGATCTGGTGGAGGGGTCGACGGGGTTGTGCTCGTACTTGAAGTCACCAATGCGCTGCACTTGTCAGATCGTAGGTAGCTGCACTGCATACCTGTTGGTACACCTGCAACTTGACACTCAGGTATAATGATATCGTTACCATCATTACAGCACGGAGAGCACGGCCTGCACAGTCCCAACATGCCCTCAGCATACGCACTAGGCTTACACCTTCCACACCTGGCCTTGGAAGTCACCGTACAGGCTTTCGTGGTTTCGCGGTACACACCACAATTTGCACAGTCTTCACAAGCTCCGGTATTGAAGGAAGCAGAATACGTCTCTCCCAGCACACATGGCTTGCACTGCACTGGTGTTGAAGGGGTTATCACATCTCCGCAATTGACCGAGAGACCCTCGCCAGGCGGGCATTTCAAACAATCCTGGCACTGAATCGAACCAGTTATTGGATCCTTGATCATAATCTGGTCGGCTTGGCATGATGAATTGGCCTGCACCTCGACGCCTGCATATTGGAAAAATGCCTTTCAGTATTTTGTTAATGTCAGATTAAGAGTTTATGATACATGAACTAGTAGGCTCTTTCAATGGGAATTATCTTTGACTGATGCGGTCAAGACGACACCTGTTTTAAGTAAAAGTACTTCTTCCAAGTCACAATAAACTCATATCTATGCATGGGATTCATAAGCACGGATTTCTGTTTCATCAGCATACCCTTTAAAACACTCTTCCTCCTTTGATTTCACCCTACAGCTTACGAGCGATTTTTGCAGTTGTAAGATTTTTTCATGTAGTCATTAGTTCATCCTTCATGACTTCCTTGTATATGATCTGAAGGCTGCCTTATTATCAACATTGTAACTTATTCTCAGACGTGGAGCGTAGAAAAGAAAAAGTACTTTCTTTACTTAAAATACGATACTTACGCAAAAGCAAAATCATAAAGGACAACAACAACAGCCTCACGTGATAGTGTTTAGCCATGACAACCACACTATTAGAACAAGAATCCGAAACAATAAAAATATCCTGTTAGTAAATGATGGAATTCTATCTTTTGTTCATGATATTTAAGTTGTATTCAGATTATGACACTCTTGCGATTATTTTCGTTGCGCAAAACATATTTCCCCCTAAAGCCCCGCCAAGTAGAGAATTGTTATCGCCGAAAATTTACTGATCGTTTCCGACATCGAACTGAACGCCGCTGGCAACGCACAGTAGCTGTTAGCCTACTTGTAGGCGGTAGTTGATGTGCGCGAGATTCAGCGAGGCGAATATATTCGGTCACCATCTCTGACGGGTAGAAGATCTGGGACGAGTGGCAAAGCGAAAGGAGAGGGGGGAGGGGGAGGAAGCCAGAAACACTCTCCCTCCCTCTTCCCCCCTCACATTATCACTGGTCCCTGATCTTCTGCCCGTTAGATATATATTTGGTGACCGAATATATTCGCCGTGCTGAATCTCGCGCATACCAACTACTACCTGCCAGTAGGCTCTGCGCACAGTAGAAATTATAACCTAACCAAAGTAAAGCGCGCGCTCTGATTGGTCAATTTAGCGTCCCCCATTTGCCCATGGGTGTACGCTGCTGACGTGAGCAAATGCAAAGACTATTTTTCCGCGCGCGCTTGTTTTTTCTGGTCGCGTAAGATTTGNACACTATTGAGTTATGGAAGCACTTGGGAGGTTTGCTAAGCACTCAAGAAGCTAGAGTCGCTCTCGGCTACCGCCTCGAGCGACTCTTACGCATCTTTCGTGCTTAGCAACCTCCCGCGTGCATCCATAACTCAATAGTGTACGCTGTGGTGTTTACCATTTGTTAATTGTCAAAGAATAGCTTCATTAGGCAACGCTCGATTTGTCACGCTTTAGATTAAATGTAACGTGACAGTGAATTAGATGACCAGCATTAACTTGGAACACGGCAAAAAAATTGATTCGAGTTAGCGGCGGTTTGAGTTAGCTGATAGTAAATTGCAGTCCGGTCAAAGTCCCCCGAAAAGTGTTGTGATGCGCATTTGATCATATCCACATGTTAATTTGCGCAATATATTATTAAATTATTATTATTATATTATTATTATTATATTATTATTATTATTATTATAGATTACCGAAATAATAGGGTCAAGAGAAATCTGCAATAATTTCCTTTTTCTTGATGAGCTTGAGTTGTTGTTGTTTTTTTTTTCGGCCTAAATATAGCATCGGCTATCACTGAAGAGATCTTGAGGGAGGAAGGCGCCGCTGCAAAAGGTCCTCCGAAGTATTTTTAGATCAGTGGAAAAACTTAAACAGCGCATTGAATAAGAAACTTATAACTAACAAACTGTAGGTTACGACCGATGTTAAGTCTATGTAGTTTTTTAAAGTAGAATTTAACGGAAAGTTTGGTTTTATGAAATGATTTGATAATATAAATTAGCCAACTTATATATAGCTTATAAAGCTGACGTTATCAGCGTTGGCCTTTCTTCAGTTTAAATGGTTGTGCCATGCTACCATGCTGGTGGCAGACATCGGTAATAGTCAGGAGCCATTGGGAAATGACCGATAGTCTCTAGGTGAAAATTAAATCATCACACCCATGCAAAACTGAAGTAACCTGTTGAAGTTTTTTTCGCTAATAGAATAAAATTAATTTTGGATATCGTGATCATACAGCAAGCCAAAGAACGAAGCCGTGAATTATAGAGATTGGGCTATGGAATGTGACCGCCATTATAAGAACCACATTACCTGAAGCTTTTTGCCCAAGCTAGCTAATCAATAACTTTAACTTTACGAGATTCCGATGATTATAATTTCCTTTAATAGTTCAATTATCCTACCTTTTTGTCCCTACCTTGTAGAGTCTTGACTTGTCAGGGCTTCGTCTACAGCTTTGCGCAAAATCTGCGACAAAAAATGATTTGGTGATTTGTATAGCGAATTAGCTGTTTATAGATGCCAGTCGTTTTAATCATGTGAAGTGTTATATCTGAAGGGGTTTTCCCTATTGAATTGGTACGTGATCAACACTTTTCTACCCGTACAAGGACGTTTCTCAACGCCGCTGACACAACGAACTGCAAGTCACGAAACAGCTCTTGCAAAGCAGAAAGCCAGATATTGTAGGTTGAGAAAAGGCTTACTTTTTCTGCCAAGGGTTGTACTATACATATGTTGCGCGAAAAGCCCAATAAGGTCATGACCACTGGAGTTTAACGTGTTCTATGTTTAGATCTTTGTTCTTCACGGTCTGCCCGCTTTTAATGGAACTAATTGCTTCATTGTAATGTAATTTGAGGTACTAACCAAAATATTCATTATGCAGCCAACACATTTTAACACGTACATGTTTGCGGTATACATAAGCAGCGAGAATCAAAATTAACTGCGAAAGATCCTAATAAGAGTTGCGTAAAAATCTCAACAAATGAGGAATAAAGTACTTAAGAGGAAATAGAACGAAGAAACAGTGAGCCAACTAGAACCTGTCGCTAACGATTTCATTTACAGTCTTGCATACATGCAGAAGCCCCTCCCCCTGATACGTCATATGGCGCACGAACGTTCCTTCCCCGGGATCTTAGAGTACCTGATACAATACTGATTTTTATTACACGACTCGGGCAGTCAGAGGGCCAATAACTTAAATCGACCAGTCAAAATGCTCTATTGCCGGTCAATATTCTCCCAGTATTGGACCGAGCACTGTCCCGAATGGTTCCGAATGGTTCCGAATGATACCGCACTTGTGTCCCTTTGAACTTCAGTCGTTTAATAAATCTCTTATTAACCAAGCTTGCTCGGGACCGTACTGGAAGAATATCGGCCCTCGGTGTTTGTTGTACGCGCTCGGTCCGTACCGTCAAGACCTCGGGCCGATATTCTCCTAGTACGGCCCTCGCGCTTGGTTAATAAGATATATGTATGCCTCAGCATTCCATCACATTCGACCTTTTCCACAAATTGGATATATCAACAAAGTTGAAATGGTAAATTGGCCACCGTAACGATTACAAAAGCTGACGTTTCTAGCGTTCGAGCGTTCGAGCGTTCGAGCGTTAGCTCTCCGACTAAGGGCTAACGCTCGAAACGTCAGCTTTTGTAATCGTTACAGTGG